ATGCCCCAGTAAAGTGAAGGGGACACTACACTGTCAGTGGGCGCCGTCTTTCGGATGAGACGTTAAACTGAGGTCCTGACTCTCTGTGGTCATGAAAAATCCCATGGCACTTCTCGTGAAAGAGCAGGGGTGTAACCCCGGTGTCCTGGTCAAAGTCCCTCTATCGGCCCTTATGATCATGGCCTCCCAATCATCCCCTTCCACCGAATTGGCTCTATCACTGTCTCTCCACTCCACCAATAGCTAGTGTGTGGTGAGCGCACTGGCGCCGTTGTCCTGTGGCAGCCGTCGCATTATCCAAGTGGATGCTGCACACTGGTGGTGGTGTGGAGAGACCCCCCCTCATTGTGAAGTGCTTTGGGTGTACGGCCATACACAATAATGCGCTATATAGATACACATTACATTACATTCTTCCACCTTTATCCAAAATGGGCGGCACGGTAGCCCAGTGACTAGCACTGTTGCCTCACAGCAAGAATACCAATGGCATCAAGTCCTCGCTGGGCCATCTGGTATATCTGTGTGGAGTTTGCATGTTCTCCCCGTGTCCGCCAAGGTTTCCCCTGGGTTCCCCTGTTTCCTCCCACCATCCACATTATGTTCTATATCAGGGATCACCAAACCTTTTCCTGGAGGTCTGGTGTCCTGCAGATTTTAGCTCCAACCCTAATCAAACACACCTGAACAAGCTGATCAAGATCTTTGGTATCCTTGAAACACCCAGGCAAGTGTTTTGAGGCAAGTTGGAGCTAAAACCTGCAGGGCACCGGACCTCCAGGACCAAGATTGGTGACCCCTGCTCTATATTATAGATGAAAATAAGCCTAAATCTTTTTTTTTTTCTTATGTCGTACTCTCAGGAAGTTCACCTTAGCCTCAGCAGCGGGGGAGTTTTGAGATCGACCTGAGCTCAATCTCCCCTTGCCCTGCGAATGGGGGTAGCCCTGGGCCCGAGGATCCCTTGAGCCCAGGGCACTCTCCCGGGACAGCATGCCAAACAAGCTATGTATAAATCATAAGCTAAGTGTGAACTCTTAAAGCAGAAATTGGGGTAATAATTCTGACTTCAACTGTACACTACCTGACAAAAAAGTCTTGTCGCCTATCCAAGTTTTTGGAACAACAAGTAATTTGACTTCTGGTTGATCATTTGGTATCAGAGGTGGCTTATTTGAAAGGCGAAGGCCTTTAGATTACACTTATTTCACCACAATAAACTATGATCATGTCTTGATTTTGAATTATTAGATTAGGACAGTAAGGTCTGACTTTGCTTACACAAAAGTGTTGTCACTTAACAGAAATAATGTACAGTATAGAATATAAAGTCATGCTGCAGTGGAACAAGAATGAATATTGTGTGTGACTCCATCATGAGCTTAGAGGACTGCATCTATACATCTCTGCAATGACTCAAATCACATATTAATAAAGTCATCTAGAATAGCAAAGAAAGCGTTCTTGCAGGACTCCCAGAGTTCATCAAGACTCTTTGGATTCTTCTTTAATGCCTCCTTCACCTTTTCCCAGACATGCTCAATAATGTTCATGTTTGGTGACTGGGCTGGCCAATCCTGGAACACCTTGACTTTCTTTGCTTTTAGGAGCTTTGATGTAGAGGCTGAAGTATGAGAAGGAGCGCTATCCTGCTGAAGAATTTGCCCTCTCCTGTGGTTTGTAATGTAATGTCTTGATACCTCAGGCTGTTGATGTTGCCATCCACTCTGCAGATCTCTTGCACGCCCCCATACTGAATGTAACCCCAAACCATGATTTTTTTCTTCACCAAACTTGACTGATATCTGCGAGAATCTTGGGTCCATGCAGGATCAAATAGGTCTTCAGTATCTGTGATGATTTTGATGCAGCTCAACAGAAGATTCATCTGAAAAATTGACCTTCTTCCTCTTTTCCAAATGATCAACTAGAAGTCATGTTATTATTTGTTACTCTTACAACTGGGATCAACAACAAGACTTTTGTAAGGTAGTGTATATTCCTGTGGATTTGCAGCAGGGTATTTTGATTGCCTTGTTGCATCTATCACTGTCATTACAGTAGATGGCGGTTTTTGCACTGTTTTACACAGATCATATTGTATTCGCTGCCCTTTAATTAAGTTACTGGCATTGTTGGCATGGTGCCTTTTCCCCCCTGGGGAAATCGACATGAGAAAGAGGCAATTAGAATTAATTAAGTACCTACTCAGTTTCCATGGACCAAATTGAAATGAAAGGTAAACTAGTTTCTTTTTTTCAGCATACAGAGACTCTGTGGCATGAAAGTGACGCGTTTGCTTTGATTGTGTGCAGGAAAGAACAGTAACGATCCGTCGGCAGACAATCGGAGGGTTTGGTTTGAGCATCAAGGTGATTGCGCCGTTTCTTTCAGCCGTCACTCAGCTCTCTCTCTCTTCTGCAAGGCTTTGAATGTCTTCACGTTATTATTTTTTCATAGGGTGGCGCCGAACACAAGATCCCTGTTGTGATTTCTAAAATATCAAAAGAACAGAAGGGTAAGCGGTTTATTTACTCTTTCGTCTCTTGTACGCAAAAGCAAGTTGTTTATTTGTTCATACTTTTGTTCTTTCTTGCGTTCGCAGCTGAACTTTCTGGACTTCTGTTCATTGGAGATGGAATTCTCCAGGTATGAATATAACTCATCAATGTGGTCGGATAAATAAGAGCATTTCAATGTTGAAGGGTTATTTCAGCCCGTGGGGGAGGGTTGGAGGGGTATGGGGGGGTTGATTCACGGACGAAAGGAAGGTGTCGTGGACATGTTATGTCTGAGGCAATAGCTGTAAAGGCTCCACCCACTTTTGAATAGCATGGCGGGGAGGAACATCTCATTAGCATTTAAAGAGACAAACAAGTTTTTAGCGAAAAAGAGATATTACAGCTCTGATCTGTGAGGTGTTTTGAGCTAAAATATTACACAGACACATTCTGTGAAGACTTTTTTTTTTGTTTATGACATTTGCATAATATGACCCCTTTAAAAGTCCCACAATATCTTAATGTTATTCAGTCAGCAGTTGTTCAGGGAGCATCTTCAGTTTTTGATGCAAATTGGAGCTGACATTTTATAGCAGTGTTTCTGCAAATATATATATTCATTCTGAATTATGTATGTATTTTTATAAGCATGAAGGTCATGCTTTAGATGTGGGAATTCTTACTTATTGGCCTCAGTATTCTCATAACCACTATGAGGAAATGCCTGCAGTGAATCTAATTTCAAGTATCCTTTTCCCTGCTTCATCATTATCTAATGAATTAGAAAATCCGTAATACTAATTCATTATAATCTTTTAGATTTTATATTAAGCTCAATCTCGTCCTTGCAATAAACAGTTAAATCAGTCAAAAGGGATTGTATAGACATGTTACTAATGTTTGTAAATGAAGGCTGTTTTAATAAATAACCCTGAAAATACATTGAGCAATTTTAATTTGATCATTAAAATGATTTCTGAAGGATCATGTGAGGATCATGCTGAAGAATCAGGGTTTTATCACAGAAATAAATGTCATTTTAAATTATATTAGTATAATAATTATAATTAAAAAGAAATTATATAGTAAAAATAGTTCATTTGATTTGTAATATTATTTCGCAATATTATAGTGTGCATTATATTTTTTACTTTTTACTATATATATATATATATATATATATATATATATATATATATATATATATATACATACATATATATATATATATATATATATATATATATATATAGTTGAAGTCAGAATTATTAGCCCCTCTTAGAATTTTTTTTTTATATTTCCTATATGATGTTTAACAGAGCAATTTTTTAAAGCACCATTTTAAAGTGAAAATAATTAGCCCCTTAAAGCTATATATTAACCGTCGCTATACAATGACTTGCCTAATTACCATACCTGTCAACATCGAGATGTGAAAATAAGGGATATGCCCACCATAATAAGGGATTCCCCTGACCCCCCCTTTAAAATATCCCCAAATTACTAAATATGCAAATTACTCATTTGGAGCTGTTTCATTGTAAATAAACAGTTAAATGGTCAGTAATATGTTTAATATTATTATTATTATTTACAAAAACTAAAAAATAAATACTATACATTAGCAGCAAATAAATTAGCAAACAGTTCAGCTTATTAAAATTAATAGCTATTGTAATGAAGTAGAATCAAGCTATCAAATCTCATTAGCCATTTCTTTACTGTATAACTCACACATTCTGATTAAAGAGCAACGAATGAATCTCATTTATTTCGATTTTTTTTCGTTTGATTACATTAAATAACAGGTGTCACTTTAACAATACACACATCTAACATATAATGAAAGCATTCGATTGCTTTCCTAACTTTTAATGCTCATTTAGGACTAAATTAGTTGTGTTTGAAAAAAAAAAAACACCAAGATCGACGTTTTTAGAGGTTGTTATTATTATTAATTATGTGTATGTGTCTGTTAAAACACGCACCTAAAACACAGCTTCAAATCACGAGTACAGAATCGGTTTGGGAAACAGCGTCTATTTATCACTATGGAGCACGTCAGCTGACAGTCATGCACCTCATATGACTGCTTTGAGGGTTGCATATGAAGGTTAGAGGGCACCTGTAATGAAAAGGAAATGGAATCGCACCGTTTTTATATTTATTTCAGTGTTTTCATGTCTAAACAAAGCAAAAGCACAGAACAGACTCACATTTAAGAGCAAGGGGTGGCCACTGGTGGTTCGGTGATATGGGTTGCGTTCAGAGAAAGACTGAAAATACAGGAGAAATACGGGAAAAGACCTTTAGGGGATGATAGCAGGATAGAACTGTAAAATACAGGAGAATACCGGGAAAAACGGGAGGGTTAGCAGGTATGCCAATTACTCTAACCTGCCTAGTTAACCTAGTTAATCCTTTGAATGTCTTGAACAATATCTAGTAAAATATTATTTACTGTCACTGTAAATAAATCAGTTATTAGAAATGAGTTATTAAAACTATTATGCTTAGATATGTGCTGAAAAAAAAATTCTTGGTTAAACAAAAATTGGGGGTTAAAAATATTAAAAATAAACAGGGGGTAATAAATCATTGTGTGTGTGTGTGTGTGTGTGTGTGTGTGTGTGTGTGTGTGTGTGTGTGTGTGTGTGTGTGTGTGTGTGTGTGTGTGTGTGTGTGTGTATATATATATATTAGGATTTATTTATAACTCTCTCATATTACTCTTTGACTACAGATAAACGGCATTAACGTGAGGAGTTATCGTCATGAGGAAGTGGTATGTTTAATCTTTTTTGGGGTAATAATTCAATTCAGTGTCTTTCACTCTTTCAGTACATTGTCATTCAATTCACTCTTTAGCATTGCGTTTAGTCTTTGGTCTGAAGTGTGATTCTGTGTTTTTATTTCTGCCCCTTTTGGCTCATTATAATATAATGATATTACTAGTTATCAAGACTTTGTCCACACAAACACGGATATTTTCAGCATTAAGAGTTTTAAGCACATAGTTTTTTTTACGCGGTTTGGCTGTTCGTCATCATGAAAACGCAAGTGACTGAAACAAAAATTTGAGCAGTATACTCATGCAAATACTTAATTCTGTGTTTTGGTGAAACCCGGTCTTAAAGGCTTTTATCGCCACCTGTTTTTCGGTCCCTTAACTTGTGTCACAGTGCGCTTTTGTGTTTTCATGTGAACTGAGATTGATTTAAAGGTCCTATTGAGTGCTTTGAAGTGTGCATTTTTTATGTTTGACAATCTAAACTGAGAAATCAAGAGAGGGTGGGACATACTGGATTGTAACTCCTCCCCTTTCTGAAAAACAGCCAATAGCATTTTGCTTTTATTACAGCATTTGCCAATAAGAGATCAAGTGCTTCAAATCAAAAGCAAATGAGAAGCATCTTGAAGTGGGCGGAGCTTCTCAGATACTAGCGAGCATTTGATTGGTCAAGATTTGATAAGAAACTGAAGTATGAGGTGATGATGAAAAAATTATGGATCCATTTAGACGGAAGTGTAAAACTATAAGCTTTGTATGTTTATTTCACGTATTTTGCCACTGTGTTGGAGCACACTAACTTATAGATATCCTTAAAACTAACAGACTGAAACTAATTTTAATAATACATATATATATATATACATACAGTTGAAGTCAGAATTATTAGCCCCCTTTTGATTTTTACTTTTTTTTTTATATTTCCCAAATGATTTTTAACAGAGCAATGAATTTTTCACAGTATGTTTGTTAATATTTTTTCTTCTGGAGAAAGTCTTATTTGTTTTATTTCGGCTAGAATAAAAGCAGTTATTAATTTTTAAAAAAACATTTTTGGGACAAAAATATTAGCCCCTTTAAGCTAATTTTTTTCGATAATCTACAGAACAAACCATCATTATACAATAACTTGACTATTTAACCTTATTAACCTAGTTAAGCCTTTTAATGTCACTTTAAGCTGTATAGAAGTGTCTTGAAAAATATCTAGTCAAATATTATTTACTGTCATCATGGAAAAGATAAAATAAATCTGTTATTAGAAATAAGTTTTTAAAACTATTATGCTTAGAAATATGCTGAAACAATCTTCCCAGAACAGAACAGAAATTGGGGAGAAAAAATAAACAGGCGCTAATACTTTAGGGGCGCTAATAATTCTGACTTCAACTGTATATGTATGTATGTATATATATATATATATATATATATATATATATATATATATATATATACATACATACTGCGCTGGACTGTAGACCTGCTTTGATCTGGTCTATTGAACTGTCTATTATAGTTCCTCAAAATAGCAACACGCCAATAATGCGCCTCAACACTTTTACTTTTTTAGACCAGAACGCCTATGGCCGCACATATAAGCGCAAATGCATTTGCTATTTAAACAGCGTGGTGCAAAACGTCAAAACAACTCTTGCGCCAAGCTGAAACTAGCAAACAACAATTGCGTTGCGCCTTGCACCTGGTGTATGATAGGGCCCGTAGTGTATATATATATATATATATAATTTTTATTTAATTTTTTACACAGGATCTTCAATTCTGCGTTTGGTGTGAACCTCGCTTAAATGGCTTTTATCGTTGTTTGCTTGAGCTTTTAAACTTTAGGATCACAGTGTGTTTATTGCATTTATGTGGACAAAGATTATTTTTTAAAAAGAAAGCACTTTCTTTTTTAAACTTTGTTTATAAAAAATACCTGTGTATGTGTGGACATGGCCTAAAATGAACAAATAATCAAGTGTGTTTTCCATTCTCAGGTTCAGGTTTTGCGTAATGCCGGTGAAGAAGTGACTCTGACCGTGTCTTTTCTAAAAAGGACTCCAGCGTTTCTGAAACTGCCGCTGTGTGAAGACTGCTCGTGTACGTCTGTGTTTGGATACGCTACTGGAGTGTCAAAGTCTTACCATTAAATAAAATAGTTGTTCATTTTATTTTTTAGGTATTCCAAGTGACCAGAGCAGTGGGACATCTTCTCCATTGTGTGACAGCGGTTTACATCTGAACTACCATCCCAACAACACGGTAAACGTCTGAAAGTGCAAAATACTAACCGTTCATCCATTCACTGATAAACTAACTGTCGTTTCCCTACAAAATAAAAGCTCCATTGTTAACGTTTGAAAACAAGGAAATTAAAATAAATTAAATTTTTTTACTTAATTTAACTCAATCGTTATTATTAAATTATTATTAAATTATTATTATTATTATTATTATTATTCTGTATTTATTGTACTGTGTTTATACATACATTATATTATTATTTCGTTCGAAATCATAACTTTCTTCCCTGATATAATAATGTAATATAATGTAAAAATGTATTACAATACATTTTTTTAATAATAAAGTAATTAAATAATATTAGTATTTTTCTTGTAATATTATTGTTATTATTATTATTATTATTATTATTATTATTATTATTATTATTATTATTCAGCAATTATATGCTGTTATTAACATATTATGAAAATAACATTTTAAATATTTATTTTGTTCAGTATAATATTAATGCAGTAGCGGTTAATAATAATAATAATAATAATAATAACACATTATTTATATATATATATATATATATATATATATATATATAAGATGCTTGTTTTTTAATTTTACAGTAATTTATATTAATTATTATTTTTATAATTTAAGTAATGATACAGTAAAAATTATATTCTGCATTTTTATTATTTATTATTTTGTGTTTATTATTGTTATAATTTTTAACATTACGAAATTAGTACATTATCTTTTATAATATAAATTATAATTTATAATAATAATATTAACAATAAATAATTTTTAATTGTATACTTTTTATACATTTTACAGCAATATATTGTTATTGCATTAGTCATTTCTTCACTGATTGTTATTTTTTTATAATTTCAAAGGTCATGATACAGTAACAATTATAACAAGCATATTTAATATTTCTTTTTTATTATTTATTGTTTATTATTTGTTATTATTTTTACTGTACAATAATAGTACAGTATCAGTTTACTGTAATAATAACAATTAATATTATTATAGTAACTAAGTATTGTGTATTTATATAAAACATTTATTGTACACCCAAAGCGCTTCACAATCATGAGGGGGGGGTCTCTCTACACACCACCACCAATGTGCAGCATCCACTTGGATGATGCGACGGCAGCCACAGAACAATAGCACCAGTGTGCTCACCACACACATGCTATAGATGGACAAGAGAGCCAGTGATGGAGTCGATTCAGTGGATGGGGATGATTAAGAGGCTGTGATGAGTAAGGGCCAATGGAGGGAATTTGGCCAGGGCACTGTCTGGTCACTGACAGTATAGTGTCCCTTTTACTTTACTGGGGCATTAGGACTCACACAGTCTGCACATTAAATGCCCCATACTGGTTTCACTAACACCACTTCCAACAGTAACTTTGTTTTCCCATGTGGTCTCCCATCCATGTACTGACCAGGCTCAGCCTTGCTTAGCTTAGTAACCATTCTTGGGCTGCAGGGTGATATGGCTGTGGCCATATTACTCTTATTGTTATTTAATTTTTTATTGGATACATATGAACAATTTAACGGTAATATTTTGTTGTTGCATTAGTAACATTTATTTATTATATAAATAATCTGCTGCATAAAACATATGTCAAAATAGTTGGCGGTTCATTCCGCTGTGGCAACCTCTGATAAATAAGGGACTAAGCTGAAGCAAAATGAATGAATTATTAGTATATGGTCTTATTGAGATAATCACTGTGTTTGTGTTTGGATCAGGACACGTTGTCTTGCTCGTCCTGGCCGATGTCTCCAGGCCTGCGCTGGGAGAAGCGATGGGTGGATCTGCGCCTTATCCCGCTCTTACATGCTCGCCTGTCCCAGTACGTCCCAGGTACTGACATTTGCAGGTGAGCTGAGCATATGGGTTTTGTTTGCTTACGCTTTGTCTCCGTCTTTGATTATAGATAGAGGCACAGGGCCTGTCGGGGTTTGTGTTTCTCCTCCGCTTTCATCTGCTAATTCTGTTTGTATTCCAGTCACACAGGATTTCGCATGATTAGTGTTTTAAGGGTTATATTAATTCACAGCCGCTCCCAAATGAACCGCATTAGACCTTTAATACCAAACGCAAACTTTGATGAGGTTAAGCTATTTGAAATGAGACCCTTTTTGCACATCAAGTGGAACGTAATTGAAAACTCTTAAATTGGATTGAATTAAACCCAATCTGCTTTCTTAAATTGCTTTGAATCAAGTGGATTGAAAAATGAGAATTAGATATTAGTTAGCTATTTTTGCAGGATGTCTCCTGAGTGTGCATGTTTTTCATTTCATCAGGCAAAACGCCTTTCAAGTCATCGCGGTGGACGGAGTGTGCAGCGGGGTAATTCAGTGTCCCGGTACTGACGAATGCACCGATTGGCTGCAAGCAATATCTGCTAACATCTCCGCCCTCACCAAGCACAACGTGAGTAAAACACAGCATCATGTAACTAATGATTTCTTACACAAATGCTGTGATTGCTATGTGATGTATTGCGAGCAACCAGAAAATATGAAAAGATTTCAACCTGGAAGTAAATACAGGGTGGGCCATTTATATGGATGCACCTTAATAAAATATGAATGGTTGGTGATATTAATGTCCTGTTTGTGGCACATTAGTATTGCTGAGGGGGCAAACTTTTTAAGATGGGTGGTGACCATGATGGCCATTTTGAAGTCGGCCATCTTGGATCCAACTTTTGTTTTTTCAATAGGAAGAGGGTCATTTGACACATCAAACTGATTGGGAATTTCACAAGAAAAACAATGGTGTGCTTGATTTTAACAAAACTTTATTCATTCCATCCTCAAAAGTTTGCCCCCTCAAAAATACTAATGTGCCACAAACAGGACGTTAATATCACCAACCATTCTTAATTCATTAGGTTGTATCCATATAAATGGCCCACCCTGTATAATGTTTAAGGATTTGGCACTTTATTAGGTACACCTAACCCACTAGGGCTGGGCGATATGGTAAAAACAATTATAACAATTTTTTTTTCCATATCTGTCGGTATGGATAATTTTTATATCTTTTAATTTTTTATTTAATTTTTAATTACTTATTTTTGATCTTTATATAAAATTTTTATATATATCACTTTTAAAGGGTTTTCAGCATGCCAATGGCTTTGTGCAGCTGATTTAATACATTTTGTGAAATGCTTTAGCTGTCTGACAATATATACAAAAATAATAATAATAAACAACAGAACAATCTTAATTTAGCATTAACTGTTCAATGACATTACCAAATAAGTTATTGTATATTATTGTTCAACATCAGAAAAAAAGTTAAAACAAGTTTGGAACAAGGTGAATTAATGGTCACAGAATTTTCAGTTTTGGATGAGCTCTCCTTTTAATGGTGAGTATGGTGAATTTAGAGTAAAATATCCTTTAATATATTTTATTTAGGGATGCTAACGATTACTTGATGATCTATTGATTGTTGATAACTCTTTAATCGATAGACCTTATCGACGACTGATTAAGCATCGACAATTAAAAGTTTAGTTATGCTTGTGAGTCGCGTTCACGCATTACATAATGAAGTGTGTAGTTTATTTATGGAGTCACTTTCTTGACATTGCATATTGCGGGACGCATAAAAACCTGTTATGCGCAAATCTCTGTTATATCCGCGGGTGTTTTAATTTTACCTCACAGACTGGCACGAATAGGCCTATGCAGACTCTCATTTTATGAATTACGCATCACGACGAGACAAGCGGGGAGCCTCTTTATTCACACGAGTTTCTGAGTTCTCTCATCCTTCAATCAGAGTTTATTCTTCCGAGGTAACCTAAGAATGCTATCAGTGCTGCGAATAGTTTGTAAAGACTGTCCAGCTCATGCTGCACATACCGCTTGATTAAACGAATTAAACTGAAACCGTACAAATAGTTTAATGGATTGTTTTGGCGCTAAAGCATATACTAAAGTGTATGGGCTCTATTTTGACGGTCCATGCGCAGAGCGCAAAGCGCAGGGCGCAAACGCTGTCAGGGCGTGTCAGAACACGTTTTTGCTAATTTAAAGACGGGAAAACCAGCTTTGCGTCATGGCGCATGGTCTAAAAGGGTTGAGTTTATTTTCTTAATGAGTTAAAGGTCTGTTTTGAGAATAAACCAATTAGAGTCTCATCTCCCATTCCCTTTAAAAGTCAGCTGCATCATGCCAAGAGCGCATTCGCTATTTACAGAAGTCTAAGTGGAAAAAATGAGCATTTCACTAGCAAACAGTTAACAGTTTTTTTAACAGAAAACTGTTAAACAGAGCATCTACTGCGTGAGAATGAGAGATAATGGAACATTCGCTCTTGGATAGGGAAACCTTTACGCAAAGACATCAATTAGTCTATAAATAATTCATTTTATTTGTTAAGCGCAAATATTCGTTTCAAAACTATTTCTATATTCAGTTCTAATTTCCAGCAAACAAATAAACGAACAATAATAACGAAATGTGCTCAAAAACCTGAGTTATATCCTAAAACACATGCTGTGCCCCATGTGGTCTAAAACCTGACAGGTGGACAAATCTAAGCTTGTTTTTAATAAAACAAATATAAATATGGATATAATAAATAATACTGCTAATAATAATGACATTATACAAAATCAAATTGTTATGAATGAACTGAAAAAGCCTCCCGAGATGAAGAAGACATAAAAGCAGTGATTTTTCATATTTATGTAGGCTAGAAAATAATATGTTTTGTAATATTTTAATCCTTTATATTTATATCCTATATCTATTCTTATTATATCCTATATATATCCTTGATATTTAAATTTTTTCATATGTAAAGATATTTGCCTATTGCTCTCTTGTGTGTATTAAGCAGTGTGTAAGCGAGGCGCAACTCTGCGCCGGAGTTTAGACCGGGTTTGTTTTGGCCTAATGAAAAATCTGTTATAGATTCTCAAAATAGCGACGCGCCAGCGGTCCGCCTCAGAACGCCTCCCTTTTTACACCAGAACGCCTATGGATGCACAAATGAGCGCTAATGCATTTGCTATTTAAACAGCATAGCGCAACGCCTCAAAACGACTTTTGCGCCAAGCTGAAACTACCAAAAGACTATTGCCCCACGCCTTGCGCCACACTGCGCCGGGTGTATGATAGGGCCCTATGTGTTTTAAAGCACTTCGCCCCAGATGTTATTCGTTCTTATTATTTATGCTGTAGTTAACTGACCAACAAAATACACATAAAAATTAAGTTAACAAAACGAAATTCGTTGCAAAAAGATACATTTTTAAAGAAATATAAATAAAACAACTTAAACAACTGCAGGTGGATGATGCTTCTCTCGGTAGAAAATAAGCATTTAATTAATGATCCATGCTGTTATAAACGTCTGTCATATATTTGCTGCATTTTTAATGTCATTATTTTAAAGATTTTGTCTTGAGCATCTTATTTCTCCTCGGTGATTATGTCCTTTAAATATTTAAAGGCTGGTTATTTTACCGTCGATGAGGGACAATAGTGGTATTACAGATTTCAAAGAAAGTATCTTAATATTAAAAAGGTAGCACAAGCTTGACAACAAAAGATTCCATCAATGTCGTAACAAATGCCCTTAAATAATGCAGCCTGTAGTTTACAGCAATCATCAAGTGTTCATTGAGATTGTGTTGTCTGTCATATGGCTGCCGGGTGACACTAGCGGCGTCTAGTGGCTGTTTCCCAAAACGCACTAGAGTGTCGCCTCTTGGGGATTCTATGCTCTTTGAAGAAGCCTACTTAAAGGTGCAGTAGGTGATTGTCTTCAGAAACATTTTTTGTTGTGCTGGTTGAAAGCCTCTTCACAGTCCAATAGTAATGATTGCAGTAAATGATCTAAATGTGTTTATATGTATTTTTATATTCTGGGTAAAGCGTAAAACTAAAAAATGTTCATCCAATTAAATAGAGTCGGACCGACATCTCCCATAATTCCGTTAAGCAGGTCAGACTGTCTGTCAGCATATGTAGATTTGGACTTCTGTGCATCTGTTCACGCAGATCCGCCATTAGCGCGTGCCCGTCTGCATCACAAACGCAAACGCGAGCGAGCTGCGGGTCTCTCGCCGATGCCGAGTCGGAGGCGGCGAAGGACAGATGAGCTGGGGCCGATTACTGTAAAGCCAGGCGCGAGTATAATTTGCCAAGCGGCCGCGCGGTCACAAGACAGACCGGGAGAAATCAAATGCTGAATTTAAACTTTTTTTTTATTTTTTTTATTAGAATATGCAAAAATCATACAGAAAACATCAACAGATAACAAATACAAAGCAACAAAACAAAAACAAAACAAAAACATCAACAATATAGTCAGGTACTGGTATGTGCGTGAGTGTGTGCGTGTGAGTGTGTGTATGCATGTAAAGGTAACTTGGTGGACAGGTCAGAGTACATACATTAGGAACAATAACAGTCAATAAATGAAGCAAGTGTCACAGATATAGATAAAACATATAGAAAGAAACCAGTCAGAGGTATGGAGTAACAACAATGCTTATTAATGTATGATAGTAAATAGGAGAGTAAAAAGAGAGAAAGGACAACAGTAATAACTGACAACAATATTAATAAATCACAAGTGCTACACCAACTACTACTACAGAAAGTTACTTATATTACAACTACTACTGCTTCTACTACAGCTACAACCACGACTACTACTACTAAAGTGTCTACTAATACTGATACTACTACAACGACTACCACTACAATGAATTTAAACTTTTAAAAACCTGAATCAATATTGGAGTTACTTTAGCACGCTGGAGGAAGGACGACACCATGGCTGAAGTATTACTGACAGGTAATGTTGTTTTATAAACTTAGTCAGGCTAAGCTTATGTTAGACTGTGTTGTTATGAATGACTTCTATGCACAGACGTGTTGTTCAGCCACTGAAATCTCTCGGTGGAAGATTGATGTGATTATTTTCAGTTTCATAAGGTTCTTTGACAGCATCTATAATGTAGATTTATATTCAGTTTAACAACAAAACATCAGCAAATAGCGCTATTCAGCCTAACCTGCTTTATTGAGCTGAAGTTGCTTTTATATTCACATTGGGTCATTTTTGAACAATGACAGCCTTCCTGTACTGTTTACCGCTAACGTTACTCTGAATATTCACTCTGAAATAGCATGTAAGTGTGGCAAGGTAATAAATGTAATTCCTGCACGGCGCTGGCACTAACTAACTGGCGAATGACATGAACTTTGGGTTGTCTGTCTGCTGTTGTGACGTGGTGCGCGCGCGCTCGTGATTTCAGGGGGTGTGGCTTTGAATCACAGTCCCTCCCTGCCGTCCAAAGATAATAGGTGCGTTCGACATGAAGCTCAGCTGCAGCCGGTGATCAACGAGATTAGCCGAGCGCAGGCGGGGGCGGAGTTGAAAACGGAGCCGTCAAG